GTAGGGGTCGAGTTCAGAAATCTGACAGCTTGTGGGAAGAAACTTGTCTCTGAAACTGTCTTCTCCCGATATGGCTGAATGTAATAAGGAACTGAGGTCATTAAGAAACAGCTTGATAATCTGAGGCTGGATGTCACAGAGGCTGCCACAGAAAGCAGCAGGACTGGAGGAGTGGTGTGAGGTCAAGTGGAAACTGCTTGGAAGTGCAGCAGGAGCGTCTTTACACAAGGGGTGGTGGGAGGGTGGAACGAGTCACCCGGCCACGTTGTTGTAGCCAATACCCTGACTTCTTTTAAAAAAAAACATCTGGATGAGATCCTTGGATCAATTAAAACTACGTACTGCCAAAGGAGCCACTTGTGAACTTTCAGTGCAGTCTTCTGTTGTCAGCCATGTCAGGAGAGGCACTGCATGGGGCACCCGAGAGCAGCCAAACTCTCTCCCTTCCAGGCTTCCAAACGTTTTCCTGGAGCCCCTGCATCTTCGACTTGGAGGGTGTCATGTCGCCCACAGTGTCCATTTGGGGTTTTACGACGCTGTTGCGTTTTGGGTTTTGGGGGTTACCGCTGTACAGCACTGGGGTGCTCTGGCGGGGTTTTGCCATTCTGTGTCAGGTGCGCGTTGTGCACTGTGAAATCTGTCCGCCTCGGTCCCTGGTTTTCCGTGGTGTAAGAGAGGGCTTCTGATGAACCTCTGCCAGCGCCCAGGAGGCCTGTGTGATGCTCTGCTGAAGGGCTCTTTCTGTGCAGCTGGGGACGCAGTTACAGCTGGATGGCAAGGCTGAATGGTCCTAGTCGAGGCGATGAGATGGACACACAACTATACGGCAGGCATTTACTGGCACAATTTAGCAAAGTACAAAGACTCCAGAGTGCAGCCACACTGCCCCACCTGGAATCTGAACCCAGGCCATCTGGAGGCTGCTGAGACTATTTCGCCATCTCACCTGAGGTACAAAAAAAACATATGTTATATTCACAACTAACACACTAACACTTTCGGCTGTCCGAGCTGGTGGCTGGAAGAAGACGTTTTTTTTTTCCTCTCTGATTAAAAAAAAAAGCTTGGGTAATATACGCAGCTGAAAGAAGAACCAAAAGAAAATGTCGTTTTTTGTTTTCATTATTTACTTTTTTTTCTTAT